GCATTTCTTAACGTTTTTCACTTGATAGTGCGTTTTCATTTCAGTCAATACGTAGAAGAAACAATGTAGGAACATGAAAAAAAAAAAAAAACGACTGTGCTTCTCAATTCTACTTTCTTTCTGTCAAGAATGTTCAGTCCACATGGTATGATTGACAGATTGCTTCCTCTGCTTATACAAATTTTCAAACGCATTGCGAGCTCTCCAGGGCGAGACTCGCTCTCAGCTTGCTTCACTCGCCAGTGGATAGCTTAATTACAGGCTAGTAATTTAATTTTACTTAGTTTTCTATTGTTGTCAGTCAAATATTATTAGCATGAAACATCAGTGTTCCGCATGAACAATTCATATAATTGTTCGCAACGGTTTCTGATTGATATGTGCATGGCTTCCTGCTGTTCATTAGCCCTCCTCTTCTGTTCAAGGTTTTTGTCCATCCGTTTAACGTTTTGAGCTATCCATAAAATAATTATAGATGCTGTTCAACCGTTTAACATTTTAAGCCATCCATTTATTTTTTTTCTTGGCCATTTAACGGTTTACGGAATCCGTTTTTGGACTTTGCTCTACCGTTTAACGCTTTGGACTATTCGTTTAAACGGACATGCAAACCGTTTAAACGCTCCTACTACCCGTTTACTATCCGTTTACAAACCGTTTATTTTTTACCCGTTTAACGGAAAAGCGTCAGTGTACGAAATCCTGTGCCCGGTCACATATACCAACTGATCAATCCAGGGGTTGAAAGCTTATTAAGAAGTATTGCAAGTAGACTTACATCTAACTATAACCTGGACACTGTAAGAGGCACTGTATTGGTTAAGAGTTGGAGCATTAACAACAGCCTCACATCTGTACATTCCTGCATCATTCCTATCAGCTGATGTTATTGTGTAGTTAGAGTTGTTTGGATCTTCCTGAATCTTTACATTATCTTTGTACCAAGTGTAGGATGGTTTGGGGTTGCCACTAGCAACACAGAATAACTTCAATGAAGCACCTTCATTCAAAGTTTGAGCTGTTGTAGTATTGAGTATAATTGATGGTCTAACTGCAGATAACAATGGATTGGAATTTAATGACAAGTCTAGATAATCAAGTCATTATCAACCCTTTGACCAGCATCCAATTTCTCCTTGCAACATCGCCCCTGTATCACACATTAAGGTCACAAGAATAAAGAAAATGATTGCCAACTGTAGAAGATCAGGATTGTTCAACAAATTCTCCTTGTCAGCACCTTTGGAAATGTACAGAGAACAGTATGGAGAATATGAATGCTGATCTCAGAGTGTAATAAAATTTATGTAACAACTTCTTCCATCAGAGAGAAGAAATCTAATATCAAGCAGGGTTTCATTAAGGTCTGGGCACTAGGCAAATTGACTTGTTGAAAGGATGCATTTGCCTGCCTGGTTTGACCATCTGAAGTTTATCCTAGAACAAAGTTCAGTTCAAAAAGTTTTACCTGCCTGTGAAAACCAGTTGCCCTCCTGCTGAAAACTTTAATGAAACCCCTGTCAAGGTTCATATTAGCCCTTTGTTGGAAAAACTTTCACACAGGAAAAAATCTATACCACACATATTCCAAATCAAAATCGTTTTCATCAGCAACTTACCAACTACAATAAGTTCAGCAGCAGCTTTAATAACAGGAGGGCGACCACTGGAGAAGGTCACTTGAAATTCATACTCCCCGTTGTCTTTTGTCTGAACATTTGATATTGTAAGTGTTGCAGGCCCTGATACCTGATACTGTGCATTAAGAACACTGGTTTGTCCACTAGGTTGTCTAGAAGCAATCCAGTTATTATTGTGAAACCACCATAATTGAGTGACTGTTTTGCCAGCAGTGTTGTAAGTCCATGACAAGGTAACAGGCTGGCCCTCTAACTGATACACAGGACTGTTTGGTTCAGTGGTAAAACTTTGACAGTCTGGAAATATACAAAGAAAAAAAAAAAAAAGTAGTTATAATAATAACAGTGAAAGGAACAAGAATAAAAAGAGCCCTTCTCAGCTAACTTTTCTCAGTCACAGTTGCCATTTGGGAAACTCAAGTCTGAAAAAGGGTTAGAATTTTAATCATTTCTTTTTACGTTAAGGTGGAGGTGACAATGTTATGGTGTTGAAGCATCCTTCTCATGTAAGGTATCACAGAAGGAAGATTAGCGTTTAAATTAAAACTGAGATTGGGTGACAATTATGTGCACTATCCCTGTAAAAGTATACATTTTCTCACAGCTTGATAAACACTGATCTTGGATATTTAATTTAATTTTATAATAATTATTATTCCCACTGAAAAAAATGAGAGCTTATTCTTTCATGCTGAGATGCTTTACACTATAAGTCTATTTCCAATTTTGCACCTTCCCTTTAACTCCCAAATTACTTATTGTTTTACATGTAGTTTTCATAAAGTAAAAAAAAATATATCAAATAAAAGTTTTAGAAGTTAATATATCTTTATTTTTAATAGATATCACATTTTCAAGACATTAATAAATATCTTTTTTCCCTCTTAATCCTTTCACTTCCATGAGTGACCAAGATAGAATCTCTCCTTACAATATCAATACAATACCAAGCAGACAAATGATGAGAATAAAGAAAAATATCAATAAGGGGATTATTAGTTGATCCAATACCAAATTATCAGAATTACATGTAACATCTTAAGAATTCAGACTGTGAGGAGAATTATTATAAATGAGTATTAGGAGTAAAAGGCAAAGGGAATAAAACATTTAAGTCTTGCTAATTCCATTGATTGTTCCACCAAATTGCTGCACAAGGAGATGATTTTCATTTAAGAAATAATTACTATTTCAGCATTGATTCACAAGGCTATAGTGCACACAGGAAGTCTGGAGAGCATTCATGAAAGATTTTTAAGAGTTGATGCTCATGAAAACAACTCTAGCCTCCTAAGGACAAAAAACAAAGAACTATCTAAAGTTTTCCAAGTACTTTTCTTTACTACTTTTTTTTTCAGTGAAGACAGTGATAGTTAATGAGCTGGTTGTCCAATGACACTGCCTACATGGTAATTTAAAAGTTGTATGTAATGCTAATAGGACTGAGTGGAGTCTAATTTGGTTTGTATTCATGTGGGTGACAACAAAATCTGACGACCACATAGTTGAAGTCCAATTCATTTATAAGGAGTAAGGTTACAAATGGAATTGGACAACAAATTACCAATAGATCATAAAAATTACAATTTGAGCCACAGACTAGTAGAAATTCAGTTTTGGCTAGTGTTTTATTTCCACCACCCAGTTTGGCTCATAAATAAACTGAAATTTTTGTAACATCTAAGTTATCACTACCCACTTGGCTGTTAAGTTGGAAAGTTAGTGTCAAGCCCTGTAACCTGTGTTACAGCTCAACATTTCTAAAGTCTGGTTTAAAATGAACATGAGGTGATTCAAATTGTCCCTTGAGCCAAACACCACGCAAATAATACATGCTGATTTAGGCTTGAATGAATCTTGCACACACTGGTATGGCTTGTTATTATATTTCAATACACCATGCAAGAACAAGCCCTGTAATGACTGCTTTTCAATCCTGGATTTAGTTTAATCAGATTCCTAACTTTATCAGTTAATATCATTATAGCATTTGTAACAGCTGTACTGGCGCTTGTTTTAAGTGTTCCAACTAAAATGGTTTCACTTGATTGCTTTGACAAGCAGTAGTTGAATATGCAGGAAAAATAGATTACATCTTGTTATTAGTAGTTCATTGGCCACCTAAACCGATGGCCAGTGATCCGTTGCTTTCAGCGTTCAATTTTACAGTATGCTAACTTCATCATGAATAAATCACTAATGTTAAGTCTGGCATGGGGCAGGACTCTTTAAAATCGAACTACACGTGCATTCTTAAATCAGCTCATGTGAAATTATTCGCCTAATTGCTCCCCATTTGCTAAATTTATCGCTATCGTTACAAAAGCATGCAGTATGACCGGGTTTACAATACATGGCAAATACGAAATGTACTCGATGTTAATTCGCTGCTAGTTTGAAGAAAACTTAATGAGATGCTCTTGACTGTAAAACAAACAAATAACTGCTGGATTATGCATTCAAGATAACCTCACGTAAAACGTGATGAAAATAAGAAGAATTTTTAACAAACTCGAGAAGATATTAGCGATTAACATGGTGAAATCCGTCATCTGGGGCTTGTAATAAGCTTATATTTGAGGTTAGATTAGAAAGGAGAGCCGAATACTTTACTACGCATAGGACAAGAAATCTTTTGTTAACAATGTAAGGCTTTAACTACACAGTCGACGCAGGTACAATAGTTTATTTCCTTAACACTGTTAATTGAGAGCTGTCTGCGTATCTATTTACCAATCACAGCTCTGTACACGTGCAAATCCTATAAAGAAGACTTTTCAATTAGTTTCAAAGATAAATTGACTTAACAAACTTTATAATTTTTCTAGAGTACTGGAAATCTATTCGTCTTGTTATTAGTCCTTGATCTAATCCTCGTTATCGTTTTTTCTTCTCAGATGCTAAACTGCTGCATCGAGAGGAAAAGAGTCTCCAAGATTCGCGCTGCCAGTGTTCAGTTTTGCGCTAACGTTGGAAAAAACTCTGAGACGAGAACTAGTAAAACTGAGGATACAAGTTCAGACAATTTACGAAAAAGAAATTCCGACTCTCCAACGGAAAGAATAGAAATGCAATCGAGTGTCTCTGACGATGAAGAATTTTTTGAAGCTGTTGAAAGTCAAGAAGAGCCTGACGACGAGATTGAAAATAATTCTACAGAACGGAAAAATATAAAAAGAACAGATACAGACTTAAGTAGTGATACTACTACAAATGATAAATCGTCTTCTTGTAAAAGAGAAGGAGCGAAGGAACCATTTGGTGAATTAAAACTTCTTGTTTCTGGTGAACCTTTGTTGGTACCGTTTACTCAGGTGGGTTTGTGGACTGAGCAATTTTCAAGCGAGTGTCGAAAGTAGTCGGGGATTGCTTTGTTTTGCTTTCCTTCGTTATGTGATTGGTTAAAAAAACTCGTGCCACTTTCTGAACCAATCAGATTCAAAACTAAAATCAATCGCGACTTGGTTGCCCGCGTTTTCCCGCGCTTCAGGTAGTTTGCTTAATTTTACTTTAAATTCTCATTAGCTCCCTGAAACATTTGTCTTTCTATGATTGGCTGTTTTGATTGCCTTGGTTTTGGTTTTACAACACTCAAAACACATAATAACTTCAATGAAGCACCTTCATTCAAAGTTTGAGCTGTTGTAGTGTTGAGTATAATTGACGGTCTAACTGCAGATAACAATGGATTGGAATTGAATGACAAGTCTAGATAACCATGTCATTATCAACCCTTTGGCCCTTAGAGTGACCAGCATCCAATTTCTCCTTGCAACATCGCCCCCATATCACACATTAAAGTCACAAGAATATAATAAAAGAAAATGATTGTTAACTGTAGAAGCTCAGGATTGTTCAACAAATTCTCCCTGTCAGCACCTTTGGAAATGTATAGAGAAGAGTATGGAGAATATGAATGCTGATTGCTGATCTCAGGGTGTAATAAATTTATGTAACAACTTCGTCCATCAAAGAGAAGAAATCTAATATCAAGCAGAGGTTTCATTAAGGACTGGGCACCACACAATACAATACAATAACTATTCTTTATTTAAAGAAGGTGACGTAATTAACCCAATGAGTTATCTAAATTACGGCCTTCACAAAAATACAAACCCACCATCCCACCCCAAGGGAGGACATCCATCACACCGTAATCTCATGTGTGGGAAATTAACATCTCCTACCCCAGCCCTGCAGGAGACGGGACCTCCATTTATTCGTCCCTATCCAAGAAGACTAAACATTTCTTGATGTTATAGAAATGTAGCAAATTCTTCTCAATTATGTTAAGACCTTGAGTGTTGGTCCGGCTGGGGCTCGAACCCTCAACCTCCCGCACAACAGTCCAGCGCGCAATCCATTGGGCTAACTGGGTGGCAGACAAATTGACTGGTTGAGAGGATGCATTTGCCTGCCTGGTTTAACCATTTAAAGTTTATCCTAGAATGAAGTTCAGTTAAAAAAGTTTTGCCTGCCTGTGAAAGCCAGTCGTCCTCCGGCCGAAAACATTAATGAAACCCCTGTCAAGGTTCACATAAGCCTTTCGTTGAAAAAACTTCCAAACAGGAAAAATTCTCCACCACACATTCCAAATCAAAATGGTTTTGATCAGCTACTTACCAACTACAATAAGTTCAGCAGTAGCTGTAATGAAAGGAGGGGGAGCACTGGAGAAGGCCACTTGACAATCATATTCCCCATTGTCTTTTTCCTGAACATTTGATATTGTAAGTGTTGCAGGCCCTGATACCTGATACTGTGCATTAAGAACACTGGTTTGTCCACTAGGTTGTCTAGAAGCAATCCAGTTATTATTGTGAAACCACCATACGTGAGTGACTGTTTTGCCAGCAGTGTTGTAAGTCCATGACAAAGTAACAGACCGACCCTTTAACTGATACACAGGACTGTTTGGTTTAGTGGTAAAACTTTGACAGTCTGGAAATATACAAAGTT